TGGGGTCGCAGTCAACTTCCCCCCCCCCCCCTCCTCACACACACACACAATGCTTTTCTTTTGTGTGTCCTCTGTTCAGGTCCAATTATCTGTGAAAAGGATTGCCACTTATTCAGTTGGCCTGTAAACAAAAATATTTTCTTTACACTATTTCACTGTAAAGTCTTTTTAAGAAAATCGTTTTTTTTGTGAATCAGTTACACGGCTCCTACATGGAGATCCTGCCAGTAACAGCATTTCCTGTTGCAGGCTAACAAATCTAAGTCATTGCCTCCTAATTAGCAGGAACATTGTCAGCCTGCCATGCGGAAGCCTTCAGTTGGCTGTTAAAGTGACTCTGTCATAAGTAAAGTATGGGGGCTGCCATAACGGGCCCCCCTTCTGAAAAAAACTAGATGCCTGGCTGTGTCTGACTTCAGTATGTAAAAAAGTGTCACCAGCACACCAGCATGACAAACACGTCAGTTTCAGTGAATCTTAATTTATTTTTTTTTCACTTTAAGCCTGATGAAGGGAACCCTGTGAGGCCCCAAAATCGCTTGATTCTACTTTGAGTGACTTCTGAAAAAAAAAAAATGAAGATTCGCTGAAACTGACGTGTTTATCATGCTGGTGTGCTGGTGACACTTCTTTACAAACTTTGCTTGATGCGGCGCCATCCACAGTCACTGCGAGCACCCACTTTTGCCTATGGTAATTCCGGTAAGGTAGTGCTACAGGACTTTGAATATTTGACTTCAGTATGTTTCAGTCACATTCCCAAAACAAGCATGCTGTACATGAGTGTCACAACTACTTCTTTATATACCTTTTCTGGGTCAGCAATCAACGTACTAGCAATATCTTCAGGTAAAAAACTTTACAACAGATTCACAAAAAATGCTTTGCTTAGGAAGCCCGTATACAATAAGGCTTGATGACAAGCATACTGTAAAATAGATTCTGGGTTTACATACACATCTATAAGCTTTTTGTTAAGTAGAGTTTGCTAGCCACTGGTTACTATACCTGGTATGAAGGTATGAAGAAAACAATCCAAAGGTGGAGTATGTGACTAGTTTCATACAAGCAAGAAGACCTCTTATAAATGCAGTTTAATGAAACTTGGCACAGATTACTATCTGCTGTTTCTGTTTGTTCAGAGCGTGCAAAATACTTTTAGGTATATCTCAAAGCTTCACATGTGCTCAGGTATGTCCTTCACGTAATACTTTACAAGTGAAAGTTGGCAAGTGAATGTTCTAGGAAAACAGCTCCACTTAAAAGCTTTGAGGCAAAGGTAAACAGGGAACCTCATAAAATTACACTTGGCTTTGCAATCCTAATGTTGGTCTTATTATAGGCTAGAGGAAGAAGTTAGTACTATGTGTTGGCCTTCTAAAAGAAATATTCCAGCGTTGCCAGCAATGCAAACATAAAGTGAAAGAAAGTTTAATATTTCTATTTGTTGGCTGGAATTGCTCTTTCTAGTGGTGCAAATCCACTCATATTATTTTTATTCTTATATAGTCCATTCAGAATTATTATTTGTTTCTTGAAGTGTTTTAAAAAGGGTTAGTAGAGTCCTGCCACATAATGGCATGGCACTCAGCCACCCTCTATAAGAACTGCAGTCGGAGATGCAGACCGTGTAGCTGCTCCCGCAAGTCGGGCACGCGGTCTGTGACCGTGTGCCCGACTTGTCAGCTGGCTGTGGGCCACTTAGTACCGGCTCGCGGGTCGCAGTTGGCCCGCGGGCCGGGACTTTGAGACCGCTGCCGGACAGTGGGGAGCATTCGGCAGGGGGGGGGGAAGC